CCCCCCCCCCCCACACACACATATATATATATTTATTTATTTATTTATTTTTTTAATATACCTCAAAGGCCACCCATATATATATATATATATATATATATATATATTTGATTTATTTATTTATTCATTTATTTATTCACTGATTGTTACTCTCGGCATTTCTTTCTCCAGGGCTTCCTTTATTTGCTTCAATGTAAATGTACAGTTTTCGTCGACAATTCGTCTCAAAGTACTCACGACGTCATCTCCAAACTTGCTTTTTGAACCCCCATCATGCTTTGATGTTTCTCTGTCGGTAGCGGCAATTGATGTTGCTGGTTTAATATATATATATATATATATAAATATATATATATATATATATATATATATATATATATATATATATATATATATATATATATATATATATATATATATATATATATATGTGTGTGTGTGTGTGTGTGTGTGTGTGTTTGTGTGTGTGTGTGTACACATACATACATATACAGGAAAACAAGAGTGATTACTACTAATTATTCTAGAAATGCAACATAGGCACAGGTTAGTGTATTTATTAAAACAGAACTGTCTCATAGGGCTCGGAGACGGATGTTCACAAGTCATCCTCACGCAAAGCGACAGACACGAAAGAGAAATTGTGCCGATCAAAAACCGCGCAGTCCACGCGCTGTATTTGTTGCATGGAGTGGCGAGCTGCATCCAGCAGCAAAGAACACCTGTGCTCCTTCTTCATCATGCCTTGCGGTGTCACTAAAACTAAATTACGACGTTCGCTCAGGTAGGCCTTCACGTGTGATTTGAATTTCGAGAAGGCTTCTTCTATAGGATTAAAAAAGGGACTGTACGCTGGCAGGCGCCTAATAGAGTGCACGGAGTTAGCCAAAGCCGCCTGTTCTGCTCGAGCGTGAGCAGAAGCATTATCAAAAAGGAATACAGCTTCGGTATTTGGTTTATCACGTTCTACGCGGGCCGAAAAATCACTGAGGAAGTCATTAAAAACAACCCAATGAACTTTGTCCACCACAGTCCAGTGAATAACTTCATTTGCGGACATGCATGCTATCATGTTCAAGTTCTCTCCCTTTGTCGTTGTGGGCAAGTGCATAGCTGGTTGTCCTTTAGCTGCCCTGCCGAAGTTACTGGAACACCAGATATTGAAGTTAGTATCATTCAAATAGAAGCGGCAAACACGCGGTCCATCAGACGGCAGCCATTGGGCGTACAGCATGCGGCTGTGCTTGATATTGTCACGGTTCCGATCTGTGGGCCTCTTGCTTCACTCGCTTCATCGAGTAGCTGTGGACATCCAGCAAGCGGTCGACTGTACTTGCACTGATTGTTACTCTCGGCGTTTCTTTCTCCAGGGCATCCTTTATTTGCTTCAATGTAAATGTACAGTTTTCGTCGACAATTCGTCTCAAAGTACTCACGACGTCATCTCCAAACTTCCTTTTTGAACCCCCACCATGTTTTGATGTTTCTCTGTCGGTAGCGGCAATCGATCTTGCTGTTTTAATGTTGATTTCTAGAGCGTCGGCCAGTTGCTTTAGGTCACCGCCACGCCTGTAAACGTCCACAATCCTAGCCCTGTCGACCACCGATACTTTGCTGTTTTTTCGACGAGGTTCGTCGGGGTTCTTAAAATGTGGTCCTCGTTTGCGTCCAGCCATGACTTCAAGCAAAGCTCTCTCTTCGTCTGCAAATGTTCCCGTATGAAAACACACGTTTCAAGTAAACACGCTTCAGCTACACTAAGCGTCGTCGGTTACATGAAAACCGGAGTATCTACTTTGATGCTTTTATAACAACTTATTTCCACATGAACACGAATTAATGCAAGTTTGGTATTTTTAAGTGATTATTTCTGATTTCAAGAATGAATGGATATCATCTGTCGGTCACTGTTCTTCCTGGGCTGAGCAGACGACTGCGGTAGCCTCAGCGCATAAGTAGCCAAATGCCGTCTGCTCAGCAGACGACACGAATCTATGCATATGCGATGGTGTAGATGGTTAACCGGAATGAAGCAGTCGCAATGCAATAAATACTAACATGAACTCTATGAGCAAATACATTTAAGTACCCATACTTGCAATTACTACTGACTGTTTTTTTTTATTTTGAAGCTATGATACCGAAATGTCAAGGGGAGGTCGCACTGCGCACTTCATTTCATAAGCGCTACCAAGTATAGCCGAGGGAAAAGTTCTTGCTGTGACGCCATGTTTACGTTATTCTAACATTTATACTATATATAGTGACTAACTGTGTGTTTCTAGCGCATGCATTAAACTGACTGGCACCTGAATTAAAGTCATTGACAATTGGAATAAATACGGTGGCACTTGGATTAAACTCAATGGCACGCGGCCTGCGTGAGTTGGCGCTTGGATTAAATATGTGGCGCTTGGATTAAATATGTGGCGCTTGGATTAAATGTTTGGCACATGGATTAAATAGCTCGGCGCTCAGATTATTTCGATGGCGTGCAGATTACTTAGGCTGGCACTTGGAAAAAAGTGAGCGGGAAAACCTGTAGTTCACTGTATTCATGGCACTGCAGCCCAACGCTCGCTAAACCTTTCTAAATCAAGGAGGTTATGCCCAGTGTGTATAGGGTAGCAGCCATTTCTTGTCAGATAGTGCCCAATGTACATGCCAATGGCTGCTAATGGGGAATGAGAGAAAGGAGAATTCGGCTTTTATTAACGCGCACGCTGCGGATTTTAGGGGCGAAGCTCCGTGAAGCGCCACCCGTTCGTTCCTCGTAGTCGTAGTCGTAGTGTGTAACCAGTCTTACGTTTTCACCTGCAAGGTGCTTCCGGTAGGAAATTTCTCGTTTGCGTTGTTGAGCAATAAAAAAATTGGCAGCATATCCACGGAGTGAATGATGGAGAGTGGGGCGAAGCATTCGTCCGTCCATTAACTGAAACCCGAATTCTCCTGTCTCTCATTCCCCATTACCAGCCATTGGCATGCACATTGAGCACTATCTGACAAGAATGGGTTGCTACGTTATAGTCGCTGGGCGTAACCTCCTTCGTTTTAGAAATGTTTAGCGAGCGTTGAGTCGGAGTGCCATGAATACCGTGAACTAGTATGTACCATGAACTCGAGCTTGTTAAAGGTGGGAAGTAGATACAAGGCGCAAGCCGTAAAAAAGTGTGCGTGTGCCACCTCTCGTTTTGTCCTTGGAATGTCCGCTGGATGGTGGTGCTTCTATATGGGGAATATATGATGAAAAGTTAGTGTTGAATAGATGGATGAATGGACACACAGACAGATGCATGGGAAGACGCACGGATGACTGTACGGACAGATGTACGCATGGACGGACGCAGGGGTGGATGAATGGATGAACACCGGGATGGATGGGACGCACAGATGGACGTGCGGACGCACGAACATACGCACGCACGGACGGGTGCACAGACGGACACATTGACGAACGGAAGCAAAAACGAGTAGACGGACGGGTGCTTCGCCTCACTCTCCATCATTCACTGCGTGGATACGCTGCCATTTTTTTTTATTTTTCAACAACGCAAAGGAGAAATCTCCCACTGGCACCACCTTGCAGGTCAAAGCGTTAGACATGTTACGCACTTCTACAAGGGACGAACGGGTGCCGCTTTAAGGAGCTTCGCCCCTAAACGCTGCCATAGAATGCAAACAATAAAGATCAGTGTCCCAGCAGAAATAAAACCATACCATTCTGCGTGCCAATGAAGTATTTCACCAGAGAGCCGCACCTCGCCACTGATATGCGTTTCAAATAGAGCCTAATGTTCGCGTAACGTCGATTTAATTGCAGCACTTGCTGAACAATTTTTATAAACATTACATCTGTACTCCTCTAATGCAGCCGTCATGTTGGAATAACGTAAATTGTAGTTAGGTGCCATTCGCTAAAGCTGATCTGTGTGGCTGTGTTGACTGCTACCATACTGGCGCCCTCCAGCGCGAACCTCAGCGCGTCTTATCAGATTACCACTTCTGATGTTGCAAATGTTCATGTTGCTGTAGAAATTGTAGCGCAACTGTAAACAACTGCTAATATAAACACATGCGGCTCTTTAACGTATGTCACTGCGTCGATTTGTACATACAATTAGCACCGCTTCATGCCGACTGGCTCAATAAAAAGTAATATCTACCTACCATCTGTATGCTTCAAATACCATTGATTCTCAAGGTGGGTGGTATCTGCCAATTTTTTTTTCATTATTGCTCGAGGACATAATTTTAAGTTTCAAGCGACCAACAAACTAGCTGCTCTTGGAAGCCTAAATGCAAAACGGTTGTACATACGTTTAGGTTTTTGTACTCTAATATCTATACAGGCCGCGGCGCAGATAAGGTCGAAGGAGCTTAAAACAGGCGTTTGTATCTATAGTTTAGGTGCGGAGCGCTTCAGGGGGACCAGCTATCGTATGCTGTTGGATGGTGTGATTGTGAGCTTTCGTCGTTGCTTGGCGTAGCACAAACAAAATCATACATAACATACTGGGGGGGGGGGGGGTGAAGCATGTAAGAAAAGCTGTTGGCTATATACTACCATTTCCACGCTAAAGGAGTGTTTAGGAAAAAATAGTGACGCAGCCTATTTGAATTACTTGTTAAAGAGAATGCCTCAGGCAAACATAGAACGTGTCATCAGCGCGCGCAGCGGTTCCACGCGCACCGATTTACGCGACCATCTATTAGCTTCGCTGTTTCATCTCTATTCGCGAAGCGGAGCTGGTTCACGTGATTGCTGACGTCTTATCTCTGTATGTTTTGCGAACAGTTCTTCACGCGAATTCAGATATCTTACTGTGGCATTGTGTCGGTTGTCAATGAAATACGTTAGCCAAGATTCATCCACAAAAGTGTCTAATGAGCCCTGCAGCACCAACATGCATATCATACTTTACAAGAATAATTCACCCTCCATAATACAAATGCATTTAAAAGTGCCGGAATTATCAATGTAAGGTCTCACAAATTCTTACCCCTCAATCGTCATGTTGCCGTTTATACACCAAAGGAACACGCACGGATCAGAAGAAAGGTTGTAATCATTGTGCTTCCACTCTGTACCATTGTATATGCATGCTAAATAAAAAGAGAAAAAAATGTTAGTTTTCATTCACATAATTTTTGTAACACTTTTTGAGTATACTGCTGTGATAAGTATTTTGCACACGGGAGTTTGATTTGCGTGTATGCCAACAATGGAGAGTTATAGTATACCGGGCTTACCGTGATACCGGGTGTATTGTGATACCGGAATCGAAGTGCGCATGCGCAGATACGTATGTCACTCCTACCACTTCCCATACGCGTGGTATTTTTCATATTTCACGCTACCGTGGTATCCTAGGTGTACGTAGTGTACGTAAACATGGCGGCGCTCTCGGACGCCCGCTTCGAAGTCATTTTGGCATAGTTGTTGAAAGATTCACCTTGTCCGCCGCAAACGACTGTTCAAAGTGGCTTTGCTTGCCTTCAGTTAGCTTCGATGACCGAGTATTACGGATAAGTTGGCGTAGTTTTTGAGATAGCTTCCCATTACGAACGCGTCTAGGCCTAACTACAACATCCATGTAAACAAATCGCCAACGTGGACGTTTTCACGTTTGGTGCGTGGTTCATATTTGTTTACTTTTATCATCACTAAAGTAATCTTCTAACAATGCTTCGCGTGGTGGCATAAGCAAACATTCTCGTTTTCTTTTCATTTTCACTGTTTATCTTATTAACCATCTAATAGGTGGCGCCTCCATCCCAGCTGGGGCACGTAAACCACGTAAACGCTATTCCGCTAAACTATAGGACGCTGCCCACAACGAACGTTTGCTGCACGGTAACGCCATTTCCTTAACCTACGCTGTCACGCTAACGCTAAACTATAACTGTCTAATGTAGAGGCAGGACACTACTTTAGGCGTATTTTCGAACGCTAATAGGCTGCACTCATCGACGTTTCAGTGTTATAACCATTCGAACTCACATCTTAGGTGACAAATGTAGCTTCAAACTCGCATTAAGCCCTGAGCATGCTGTTCCTTTGGCGCCTCGTTCCCCAGCTTCCGTGAGTGCTAACCATGTGCGGCTCGAGCGCCGGGAACAACGCCACCGTGGTTTCACCGCCCGGCCTTTTGGTGTGGTGCAAGCGATGCGACGATTTTCTGAGCACGTAGCCATGTGTCCGAACATGCCCGGACACGGTCAACACCTCCTTAAATTCTTCAAGCCGGCGCCTCAGGTGACATGACGTCAGCTACGTCAGCACTCGCAGACCGACAGGTGCTGCGTGGGCACGCCACTTTTGGCACTCCTCTCACAGTGTGAAGCAGTTTCATCGCGACATAGTACAGGTTTACGCCAATTGATCTCAGCAATATTGTTTTCTCTCACCTTCGAATGTCTTCTCAAACAACACACGGAGCGTACTGCTATCTATAAGAAACTTATCAGAATATTGACATAAAAGTGTTAAATATACATGAACATAATAAAAAGTACAAATTAGACATAATCGTTATTCCGGAGACAAAGTTTTCAATTTCTGTGCTTTCACGACAGCTTTCGCGTTCGCTTTCGCAGCAGCGGCTCCATCGTTCCACTTTTTGCAGTAATTATTTAGCATAGCATTTGTTGCGCATTCGATCAACAGTTTTACTAGCAAAGCGGTTTCATGACCATTCGCACAGCCCGCCAGTTTCTCAAATCCTGGCAGGCTCTATTTCACAAGCTGCTTTACAATACCTTTGTGATTTCGTGTCTGCAGATAGCATGCGAGCTTTTTTTTTCATTCTGCAGCAACTTCCAAACAACAACTTTAGTGTGCATCACTACAGTCACAACACAGGCGTTCGGAAATTTTAAGCCACCCAGATTGAGACTTGCTATAAAGAATTAACGTCATCATCACACTCAAGGTGGAAACTGTCAGCAACCAAGTTCTCTTGACAGTAGTTACACTTCAACGTTTTCACTACAGAGTTTGTGCAGAAGCCGCTGACACAAGTAAAAACAGCGATGCGTATGCTTGAGGTGTCAAGGTCCTCAGGTTTTACAGTAATTTTGAAGTCCTGTTGATTTGTAGCTGTTTCTACTGGAGGAGTCTATACACCAATAAATCGTCACTGCTCATAGGGGGAGGAGTATTTTGTAGGCGAGTCCTGCTTTCACTCTCATACAGTTGTCTAATGCTACAATAGGGTGATGGCCACCAGCAATTCGTCTGTACTGGCCAAGTCGATTTTTTTAGACCATCTGTCTAAAGTTGGCTGAGAAGCACATTTTCTTAACGAAACTCGCCAACACGGTACTTGGTTAGCTCAAGTAGTGCTTAGGTGAAATGCCTGAGAGCAGCACGAGTTTCTCGCGTGAGAATTCCGTTGTCCTTTTGATGAGATTCCCAAACATCCTGTCAAGCGACAAAAGCATCGAGAAACTCCAGCTTAGGGTCTCTGTTTAAGCAATAAACCGGATCTTCATAAACATCTGTGGTGGCAGCGTTTGTGAGGCGTTTTAACGTTGATTAAAATGTACTAGCGATGGACTATCCTGATAAATTTTGCAGTTTCATACCATAAAGCGTGAAAGCTGCAGTGGGCATCCAGAGCCTTGGTCACAAAAACACTGAATATTTGTAGAAACAGTATGATATTCTGCTTTTCCAAGTTGCTAGGATTTAGCGCTTTTGAAGATAGCCAATAGCCATACTTCAAAAGCTGTGAAACCTCTAGTCTGTGCGGCTCGTGGAGGTCTTTGAACGATGCCCACTGTATGCAGTCCGGATGAAAAATCTGGAAATGTATATGTTTTTTTTTCAGGATTCGTTTGATTTATCCAGTTACTCCGAATGCACTTTTATAAATGACCAGAATTGACAACATAAAGCATAGGTCGTGTTGCATCATTTGGATTTGTGTACACAAGGCTCAGCTTTTGTGGGTCGAAAAACATATTGAGTGCCTTGCAATTTATTGCGTTGTCTGAAACTACTGGAAGAACCTATAAAACCAATTAGTACGTTTTTCAGGACAGTATAAAGTGTGTGAGCACTCATTGTTCGTGCAGGCGGAATGTGCATGACATCGCGAATAGAACACATTATGCTTTGCAGCATAAACACATGAAACAGTCTTTTCACTGTTGGCCGCCATTCCTGAAGTTTTCCCGCCTTTTATACTGAAATAAGGCTAGATATGAGTTTCGTCGAGCATGAGAACCACGTAACTTTCATGCGGCTCTAGAAGCCTCTGCTCAATGTACCTGTGAAAACTTTGACTCGCTGATTCAGCGTCAGGAGAAAACTGGAATGAGGAGCAAACATTTCTACAAGTGCTGGGATGTGGCATGGTGAAAAATTCTGATCCTTTCAGAAACTTGTAGGTGTGTGGAGATACGGTATGCAGTATACAAGTGACCACCACACTTTCGGAAGAATACTGCAACCGTTTTTTTTCAAGCAACACCCTTTGTTCTTGCAAGGATCGAATGACCTGTTTCTTGTGGTTAATGTCAATTAGTTCAAGTTGCTCGAGAAGGCTACACACTGCATCAGAAAGACCTTCTGGGGAGCATTATTCATTGAAGGTGCTTTGAAGTGTACTTGGGATGTCAGTCAGGACGTTCACAGTACCAATGCTTCCTGGCAGGACAATCACCTATACGACCTAATTTGATACCATGACAACATACACTGATACTCAGGTCACTGAAAACAGAGACAGGTGACCGCAACACTGGCATGTTCTCATCGACAATATTTAAATATAGGGCACAGTTTGGGTTCTGAATAACAGTCCCCTCATCTGGATCAGATACATTCTTCAAACATTCTAGAAGTTCAGAAAGCGAAGAAAAAGAACGTTTCTTTTCTTCATCGCGATAACAAACTTCCGATTCTGCGATGGCACGAGTGATTTCAACTGCTTCTCGGTGCATTTTTATTCGTTTCTGGGCATTCTCTAGGAGTGGGGTCATCTTTCGACAAGTATGAAGGGCATCTTGGGAACAGAGTAGGCACTGATCCTGAACGCAGGCGCACAATTTTCAATGGGACTTATATTACTCTTCCTGACTTGGGATCCGTGCAGTACGACTTGTTATCGAGGCATGACTCGGTGAAATGCAATGCGCGTACCTGCATACCAACAGCAGTTGCAGAGCCTCAGCGAATCTCACACTGCGTGTGAATATTGCACAAGTACATCGCGAACTGCTACAATAAGTGTGAGACAACCGTCAGTTTAATGGTTATATGTTTATATAACCATCACGTAACCTCTTGCTTCCTCTTGCCTGTTGTTTTCCGTCGTAAAGAAATCCTTTCTTGGAATAGCGCTGAGCCACTGCTCTCTCTGCACTTCGTCTTTGGGAAATGAAAATACTTTAACTTTCTTTCTAGTCTTGTGTGTCGCGATATTCAAGTAACTGCAACACTTGTTCAGCATGTCAGAAGCTTCATGCCATAAAATTCCGGTTGCAAAATGCACTGCGAACACAGCGCATAGAAAGTGGCTTGGCGAACACACGTGCAGCATGGCCGTCACCACTGCAGCGAAAGGAAACTCTGGAATGTGTGACGGGACCGGCTTGGAAGTGTTGGACCAGTTGGACGTCCAGTGGTGACGTCATGGTGGAGGGCGCAGGCCTGAAGAGTTTTAGGAGGTGTTGACACTGTCTCCTCGCGTCACGCCATCCCACGTCCCAGCATTTTGTCAATCCTCACTGGCCTCCCGCAACACCCCCTCTCCCGGTAGCTTGCGTTTGCCCGGCGCTCGTCCACCACCGGGCAAGATTCACACAGGCGTGCACGAAAAGTGGACGCGCTGCTGTGGCACCCGGCTTCTGCCCTTTGTGTGATAGCCCTAGCGCCTTCCGGCAAGCGTATACTCCGGCGGTCTTGTGGAGTTTGTCTGCCGCCCTGCAAGCGCGTGATTGTCGCACTGTGCTGTATCTTCGGTAAATAAACCCATGTTTGTTGGCGACCTGCCTCGAGTGCCATCTCTGTGCTGTGTCTAGTGCCGACGAAGCCGGCCGTGGCGTCTTTGAGCGCGATGGCAGTGAAGGGTGTCGAGTCCCTTCCTGATCGTTTC